GGTGGCCAATCAATGTTCTCTCTCATTGATGTTTCTGTCTCTCTCCCTCTCTCTTCCTCTCTCTCTAAAATCAATAAAGAAAAAATAATTAGGCAAACAACCCTGGCTGAGTAGTTCATTGGTTAGAGCACTGTCCCAATAAGCCGAGGTTTCTGGTTCAATCCCCAGTCAGGACACATACAATAATCAACCAATGGTCCAGAAATAAACTCATACTTTTATAGTCAATTAATATTAGACAAAAGAGGCAAAAACATACAGTGGGCTAAAGATAATCTATTCAATGAATTATGTTTGGAAACCTGGACAGATACATGCAAAAAAATGGAACTAGACCACCTTCATATACCACACACAAGAATAAACTCAAAATGAATTAAATACTTAAATGTTAGATTCAAAACCATAAAAATCCTAGAAGAACACATAAGCAGTAAAATCTCAGACATTTATTGTGGCAATATTTTTTCCAACATATTTCCTCAGGCAAATATGAAAAAATGGGACTACATCAAACTAAAAAGGTTTTGCACAGCAAAGGAAACCATCAACAAAATGAAAAGACAACTCAATGGAAGGGAGAACATATTCACTGATATATCTGATAGGGGTTAATATCCAAAATTTATAAAGAACTCATAAAACTAAACAAACAAAAAAAGCAAACTATCCAATTAAAATATGTACAAAGGACCTGATTAAACACTTCTCCAAAGAGAACATAGAGATGACCAATTGACTCATGAAATGATGCTCAACATCACTAATCATCAGAGAAATGCTAATTAAAACCACAATGAGATCTACCTTACACTTCAGAATAGCTACCATCAATGAATCAATAAAAGACAAGTGTTGTCGAGGATGTGCAGAACGGGAGCCCTCATGCACTGCTGGCAGGAATGCAGACTGGTGCAACCACTATGGAAAGCAGTATGGAGATACCTGAAAAAATTTAAAATGTAACTGCCTTAGGACCCAGCGAGTCCACTTCTAGGAACTTATCCAAAGAAACCTGAAACAGTAATTCGAAAGAATATATGCACCCCTATGTTTATGGCACCATTATTTACAATAGCCAAGATTTGGAAGCAGCCCAAGTGTCCATCAGTAGATGAATGGATAAATCAGTTATGCTACATTTACACAATGAAATACTACTCAGCCATTCAAAAAAAATTTTTACTCTTTGCAACAGCATGGACAGACCTGGAGAACTATACTAAGTCAAATAAGCCAGTCAGAGAAAGACAAGTACCATATGATTTCACTCATATGTGGAATCTAATAAATGAACCGCACTAACAAGCAAAATGGAAACAGACTTATAGATAGAGAGCAGGCTAACAACTTGGGGGACAGGGGGAGAGTGGAGGAATTTAGCAAAAAATAAAAAAAAAAAAGAGAAGGAAGGAACTAATGGACACAGACAAAAGTGTGGTGATTGTGGGGGTGAGGAGGATGGGTGCAGAAAGTTGGATGGAGGGTATGGGGGGATAGATGGTGATAGGGAAAAAAAAGAATCAACCAATGAATGCATAAATAAGTGAAACAACAAATCTCTCTCTCTCTCTCTCTCTCAAATCAATAAAAATAAAAATATCTTAATAAAATAAATGGGCACCCTGGCCGGTCTGGCTTAGCGGTTAGAGCGTCGGCCTGTGGACCAAAGAGTCACAGGTTTGATTCTAGTCAAGGGCATGTACCTCGGTTGCAGTTCGGTCCCCAGCCCTGGTCGGGGTCGTGCAGGAGGCAACAAGTCAATGTGTCCCTCTCACATTGATGTTTCTCTCTCTCTTCCTCTTTCTCTCTCTCCTCCTCTCTCTCCCTCCCTCCCACTTTATCTGAAGATAAATGAAAAAAAAATCCTTGGGTGAGGATTAAAAAATCATAATAAATTTTAAAAAATAAAATAAATGGGCAAATAATTTGAATAGATATTTTTCTAAAAATATATATATAAGTGGCCAGTAAACACATGAAAAAATAGTCCACATCACTAATCATTAGAGAATTCACATCAAAACTATAATGAGATACCGCCTTAGATCCACTAAAATGACTTTTATCAAAAAGCCGATTGCCCCGGGAAGAGAAAACACGCCGCTGTGGAAGGCACACGGCAGGTCCCTGGGAACCTGACCACGCACTACGTCACCCACGTAATCCGGGAATACCGCTTCTGCGTACATGTCCAAAAGCAGTGGAGACGCACTGGAACAGATGTCTGCACACCAACGTTCATAGCGGCATTATTCACAACAGGCAAAAGCAACCTAAATATCCATTCGAGAATGGCCGGGTGAACAAAATGTGGTGTATATGTACAATGGAAAATAGCCTTTTTTTAAAAAAGGGAATTCTGACACCTGCAACAACACAGATAAACCCTGACACGGTGCTAAGTAAAAGCAGCCAGTCACAAAAGAACAAAAACTGCATGATTCCACTTATGAGGTCCCTAGGGTAGTCAAATTCATAGAGACACAAAGTAAAATGGTGGTGGCCAGGGCCCAAGGAGAGGGGACAGAGCTGTGCTTAATGGGGACAGTTTCAGCTTGGGAAGATGAGAAGTTCTGGAAATAAATGGCGGTGGTGTTTGCACAATAATGTGAATGTACTTAATGCCACTGAACTGTACACTTAAAAATGGTGAGAATGGTAAATTTTATATTATATTTTACCACAGTGAAAATAAATAATAATTATGTTATACTCAGAAAAAAAAATTTTTTAAATAGGTTAAATATGCCAGTTCCATATGTAAGAATACTTCTGAGCCCTGGCCAGTTTGGCTCAGCAATTAGAGCGTCGGCCCGCAGACCAAAGAGTCAAGGGTTCGATTCTGGCCAAGGGCACGTACCTCGGTTGCAGTTCGTCCCCAGCCCTGGTTGGGGTTGTGCGGGAAGCAACCAGTCAATGTGTCCCTCTCACATCGATGTTTCTCTCTCTCCCCCGCCCTCTCCCTCCCTTCCACTCTATCTAAAGATAAATGGGGGAAAAAATATCCTCCGATGAGGCTGAAAAAAAAAAAAAAAGAATGCTTCTGAGCCATATTTCTGGCATGACCTTCCCTATCACCCCCACCCCTTCCCTCCACCACCCAACGTGTGGATCATCTCAGTAATCCCGTCTTCCTTGCAAAGATCTAGGCTGATGATGTCCTGGCTTCTTCCGTGATTAGGACTGCCAGGTTTCGTAAATGAAAATACAAGGCACCCAGTCACACGGCCGCCCCCGCCACCCGCGCTTCGACGTTTCAAATACTATACTATTTCAAATATGATACTATTTCAAATACTATACTATTTCAAATACGATACTATTTCAAATACTATACTATTTCTTTTTTTTTTTTTTTTTATCCTCACCCAAGGATATTTTTCCATTTTTTGTACAGATAGAGTGGGAGGGAGAGAGAGGAAGGGAGGGAGAGAGAGAGAGAGAGAGACATCGACGTGAAGGGACACATCGAGTGGCTGCCACCCGCACGACCAACCAGGGCCGGGGACAAACTGCAGCCGAAGTACGTGCCCTTAGCGGGAACCGAACCCGGGTCTCTCCGGACTGCAGGCCGACGCTCTAACCGCTGAGCAAAACTGGCCAGGGCCAAATACTATACTATTTCAAACACTATACTATATTTAAAAAACTGCGACAGCGTGAAGCCGCGCACGTCGAAGCACACAGTGGCGGGGACGGCTGTGTAAATACAAATCCTATTTCTCAGAAATTCATTTATTCTGTAGAGTCTGGACCTGATTTCACCGTGATCAACAAGGGCCAATGGTACTTGCATTTACAATAATCTTTTATATGAACAATGAGTGGGTTTTTTTAGTCCTTACCCAAGGACATGTTTTTATTGATTTTAGAAGGGGAGAGAAAGATGTTAGAGCGAAACATCAACCCGTTGCCTACCATGCCCACCCCAACAGGAATGGAACCCAAACCTAGGTATGTGTCCTAACTGGGAATCAAACCCGCAGCCTTCTGTTGTACAGGACAATGCTCCAATCACGTCACCCGGCCAGGGCTGACTTTTTTTTTTTTTTTTTAATATGTTTTTTCTTTTTAAAAAGGGAGAGGGAGAGGGAGAGAGAAACATCGATTGGCTGCCTCCTGCACATCCCCAGGCACATGCCCTGACCAGGAATCGAACTGGCAACTTCCTGGCACCACACCAGCCAGGCAGGACTGAATGTTTTTAATGTCAGTGTTTCCCATGCAGTATTTGGGATATAGTCATACTAAAACAAAAAACAAAAACACTATTCCCTGTTTATCTAAAGTTCAAATTTAACTGGGTTCCTGTGTTTTATTTGCCCAATGATCAAACAGCTCCTTTGATCGACATGTGCTGTTTATTCCACACCATTGACTTGAGAGCCATTTTTATTGATGACATGCTAATTTTTTATTGATGTACTGATTATTTGTGGATGCGCGAATCAGTGTCACTCTTCTTGTTTTCAATAAGCCATCGAGTTAATCATTCCTAGTCCTGGTCTCTTACTGCTTCCATTATCACACGTAATGGTAACACCCTTTCTCCCCCAAATCATTTTAACACGTATGTTTCGAATAATAAATGTGTACCACGTGGCACCTGTTTGGCAGCAGCAGGACATACCTTGAAAAGTCATCAACTGCAATTTTACAATGACAAAAAGTCCCACTGTCTTACAGGCAAGGGCCTATGCACACAGGCTCCTCCGGACGCAGAACCGAGCCGCACGCTGCTGGACACGACAGGTTTGCCAGTGACAAGGCAGCTCTGGCTGCCCGGAGCCGTGGGAGCCCACACCCCTAACGCTGAAACAGACACCTCTAGAAGGACAACCACTGCAAGTCCCTTTAATGACAGGTCTCTGGCAGCAGAAGGAATGTTCCTGTGTTGAAAGGAACTGTGAGCCCCTTACTCTGAGACCTCACCTAGGACGATTTACTACCTGTAGGAAGACAGGTGAAGATCAAAGCCGAGTCTGGCTTGCTTTTACCTGGAGGGGCACCACCCTGGACATCAGGTGGTCAAAATAAAGGTCCACTGCTTCGATGAAGCCCTTGTAAGTTGTTCTCAGCCTCATGCCAGAGTCTTGGAGTAACCAGCTTGAAAAAAAGGGGGGTGGTGGGAATTAGTTCCACTGTTTGTGGGTGGCACTGGGCAGTGATGGGGGAGTGAAAAGGAAGCCGCTTCGGAGTGCTCAGGAATGAGGCTGGAGGGAGACGCCCCCACCCCACTCCTTCCCCCAACCCAGGGATGCGGCCCAGCCCAGCCCAGCCCTGCCTCCCAGAGAGGACACTAGCCTGGTGGCAATTTATGTGCAGCTTCATGGCTATAGGTCTGTCTGGCTGCCAGTCAGGGTGAGAAAAGCTCTTCATTGGACGCAAGGCCCAGTTTTCCAGCATTTCCTCCACAATCATCAGAAAGCTGAAGCCCGAGGCGTGCGGGTGGGACTGGAGAAGCACACACAGGCAGCCTCCAGCCTCACCAGAAAACCAGCCGCAACAGGCTGTGCGAAGGCGGTCACCCCTCTCCTGTGCAGCTGCAGTCCTGCTGACCCAGCTCATCTGCACCAGCTTGGAGAGCTCAGCTCAGGCAGGAGCGGGTAAGCAGGTTAATTCCTCCGACAACCTGTCTGTCCTGATCCCCACTCCCCCGGGAGCAGGGAGCGTCATTTCCAGAGCTGGAGTCAAGGTATTTTCCCATCTCACTTGAAATTCTGAGAAACCACATATTTTCTGACAAGAGGCCCTTAGAAAGGTCCTGATTTAGAAGTCTGGAACGGGGTCAGAAAGGATCAGTTTAGGTGAGATCAAAAGGGATGAGGGAGAGCGGTCTCCTCCAGCCTGACACCCCCACTTTCCACCTCACACGGAACAGGTCCAGCTTCGCTTCCCCACGGGCGCTCGCCCACCTCCCGGGGCCCACCATGTGCCCATCGCTCCAAGGCCAAGGCCTGAACGGACAGGGGCTGCATAAGGAGGCCCTCGCTGCCTCTGAGCTCCGGGGGACTCCAATCCTGTCCTCCTCCTGACACACAGATTCCAATCCCCGGGTGTGGGGGAAGAAGCCACTCTGGCTGTGCTCTTGCCACGCTGAATGGCACAGCGAGAGGCGATTCTGGGCGGTGACAGAGACTGGGAAGGGGGGGCAGTGCCTGTGCCCCTGGGGCAGGGCTGGGCAGCATGGAAACGAGATGGAAACAAACAAAAACAAGGGGGAGGCCTGTGGTTGCACAGTGGGGAGAAGCCAGTCCCTTAGGAGACAGCCTGGCAAAGAGGATCAGCCCACCTGGGGCGGGGGGGGAAGGGGGGCACACCCAACCATCCAGGCAGCAGTGAGGATGGAAACATTACCCCTATGGGCAAAAGTGTCTTTTCTGAGCATCAGGCACTAACGATGAGGATGAGGAATGAACGTGGTGCCGGTGATTCTCCGTGGAGACCACACACCCCACAACTCATTAGGGCCTAAACTTCAAAGATAAGAGATACGACAAATGCAGTCATTTGTTCCTCTTATACTTTGGGCTTTAAAAACCGAATGCTGGTAACATCCAGAAGAGATAGGCAGGCAAGTGTGCTTTTTCCTGTTTTGCACACAGGAGAGTGAGGTCCAGAGCAGACAAATGGCCTGCCCGAGGCCCCGCTGACAGCAGAGCCCTGGTGAGGTGAGCGGCCTGGGGCCTGCCGGCCCCCTGCTGTGCTGCCACTCAAACCCACATGGAATTAGACAAGGACAACAAGGTGAAAACATTTAGAATAACCCCCTTTGGGTGCTACTTTTTCTGAAAAGGAACTTCAGTACAAAATGGAAACAAAATACTTTAAAAGCAAAATTAAACCTACGTTTGTGACTCGCATTTTACAGAAGCACACAGGACAAGTCCAGCTGTGGCCAGCGGCCCTCGCAGTCCCGCTCACCTGGGCAAGCCCCCGAGGTCGATCTCGCTGCAGATGTAGGGGCCTGGACGCAGAATCACCCACAGCCCCGTCTCCGCGGCCAGCAGGACAAAGGCCCTAGGAAGATAGTGTCAGCAACTCTCAGGACCTCCCAGCGCAGGGTGGACAAGCCCGGCGCACATGGCAGGTGGCAGGACTCCCCAGATCCTCATCCTCCCTCCTCTCAGACACAGGGTGAGGGAAGGGAAGGCCGAGCCCCTCCCCCCAGCAGAGCAGGTAATCCTATACCTGAGGTCATAGGCCTGAGGCCCTGGCAGCTGGGTTCTCACCAGCTCCCAACCTAGGCCCATCTGCACAGCCCACTGGGTCATGAGGAAGAAGGGTGTCACACAGGGGACTGGGGTCCTAACAATAAACCCGACCTCAACAGCCTTGCTACCCTCCAGGGGCAACCCCTGTCCCAGCATGGGTGGCTGGACCCCACTGCAGAGCAGGCTGACCCGGGACCAGGCTCCTCTGGGCCCTGAGGAGGGTGGGGCTCAGAGGAGGCAGCCTGGACACCTGGGAGTCACAGGTTCACAGCTGGAAGGCATCTGGTCCTGGGCAGACCTGTCCCCCGGTCTCCCTCTGGTTCTCCAAGCAGAGCTGAGATGCCAGGACGGTCCCTAGTCAACCCCCGCCGGCCCCTCCTGCCGCCCAGGCCCAGGCTGGTCACAGAAGCAGCAGCAGCAGCACGTACTCCAGATCCAGGTTCCCGGAGAAGTCGAATGTGCCTCTTTGTGGCTCGTGGAGGTTCCATGGCACGTAGCTGTGACAGGAAAGATTACAGGCATGACCGTTCCATTCACCCCCCTCCATCGCCCAGATCACCGTCGTGTCCCTAACCCCGTGATGGTTGAAGACGTATTTCCTGGCTATACTGTCCTAGTGCGGTCAGGACTGAAACCAGGAACTAAGTGAAGAGATGCCTGGGCCTTAGAGAACCCAGGGCCAGTCCCAGGGGACGGGGACCTGACCACCTTCGGGGAGGGAGAGAAGGCCAACAACATGTGAAGATGTGGGTGAAGCGTAAGACACCACCACAGGGCAGCGTGGGCTTTGCTCCCCCTCTTCCTGCCCTCCTTCCCTCTCTCTCCTCACTGGAGAAAAAGAGGTAACTTCACAGGAAAAGAAGTTCAAAGTAGAATAAGAGAACACCTTAATCATCAGTTCTGTTTTTTACTTAAGCATCGAACTCCAAATTCTGTAACTCCAAAGAGAAGAGGAGGAAATGAAGTAAGATCTGTAAGGGGCCAGACTAGGGGGCAGTCATGAGTGACATAAGGTGGTGACAGCAACGACTCTTCACCAGGACCCCCCCCCCATGGCTTCCGAGGCGCCCTCTCCGGCTGCAGACACGCACAGGGAGGCTCGCTCGCCTCCGCTTCCGATTCAGGCCCGAGTCCCGTGCTTAAGAAGTTAGGTTATCCTGCTCCGAAAGGCAAAATGGTTGTCCTGTAACACCCCTACAAGCTGCAGGAGCCCTGCAGGGTGTGGATGTACCCCGGGACCAGAACTGACACCTGCAAACAAATGACCCTTTTAAGGATTCTGGAAAATCACACACGTTGGTTTCCACGATGCTGTCATAGCTCAGAATATTCCTGTCATTCTTTTTAGAAATTGCCTTCAAAGCCAGTTCGTAAACCGCCCAAGAAAATCCACGTTCTTGATTTGTAATCACATTTTTGCCTGAAAATAGAATGCAGCCTGATAACCCACTTTATCTCCTAGACTTGGTTCCAAGTATCTGTTGGCCATTTTGAAAAATAAATCCACGAAAAGATCAAAATTTGTTCACAGCGGAGACTATCTTCTCACTAATTCACACACTCATCGTTTCGGGGCCTGCGGGGTCCCAGCCACTGTGCGGGAGCTGGAGGCAGCCACAGCGCCCCGAGGCGGTGCGGAACCGGACCAAAGCTGCTCACAGCTTCCCCGGCAGCCGCTTTGAGGACGGCCCCCCTCTGCTGTACAAGTTGGGGGTGAAATGCTCGTTCAAAAAATGACTTAGTGAGCGCTCCATCTCCTCCTCCATCGATACTCTCCTCCTCTGCACACCGCGGACTCTGTGCCCAGACCCCATCTCCACATCCCTCTCACCCCCACGAAGGGGAGCCGCAGGGACTGGGAAGGAGGGAGACTGTTCCTGTCAGAGCTGCTCAGCCTTAGGGTCTGCCAGGGCTCACCCACCCTGGCACCAGGCGGGGCTCCCACGGAGAAGCCTAGAGACAGGCTCGGGGAGCCCCTGGAGGACAAGGCTTGGTGGTGGGGCAGGGCAGCACTCACGTGGTCAGGGTGTTCAAGCCACAGGCTTTCATCTTCAGCAAGCGGTCCTTCCAGTACGCCCTGGGCACACGGAAATAATGCACGGAGCCCCCGAAGATCCAGAAGGTGGAGTCCTCCAGCATAAAGTTCTGGTCCTTGGTGTGCAGCCCGGACTGCCTCTGCCTTAGCCAGGGAGAGATGAGACCGCGCCAGTCCAGCCTAGGACAGGAGAGGCAGGCGGCAGCTGAGCTGGCCTTCCAGGTGAGCAGCACAAAGACACAGGCCCCTCTCCGCCCCGCAGGCCCAGCGGCTCTCCCTAAGGAGGGCCTGCTTCCAGGGCGTCCAGGAAAGGCTGCACCCTCCGCCTGAGCCCGGCCTGGGAAGCAGGCTTTCCTCAGCACCGCGGACGGCTGGCCCGGCGGCGAGGCCAGAGCAGGCGGGGACTGCACTCAGGACGAGGCACACAGAACACGAGGCGTGGAGAGGCGCTAACAGGACAGGGCAAGGTGGGCACACAGTGCACGGGAAGGGGGTGCTAGGGGGCTGAGAGGCTGCCTTCGGGTCCAAGACTTGGGGGGACCCAGGGGCAGGTCTCCTAAGCCATCTGACTAAACACCAAAGCAGCAACTTCTTCAAATTGTACCTCTGAGCTACCTCATGGTCACAGCTGCCAGGCTCAAGGTGCACATACCTGTAGAGAGGTATCTGGGTTAGAAAGAGCATCTATTCACTAACCACATTTCCAGGTCTCAATTATTATCTCAAGATCAAGTGTTGTGTTGGCCAAGAGATGGCATGATAGAAAGCCACCTGGGGAGACTGTTGAAAGTTTTAATCACTGAAAAAGCACCTCGTGACATCTTTTGGGGTGGCCAAGGGGAGCCCCGCAACTCAGTGCTCGCAAGAGAGTGGGGGTGGGGGGCCAGGGTTTCCAGCCAGGACATTAGGAAACTTGGAGACAGAAAACCACCGGGAGCATCTGATGCAAAAGCATATTTTCATCGGTGCCATTTCTGCACCCACTTCTCACTGCAGTTCCTGGCACCGGAGGGCATCTTGCCCAGGGTTCTGGGGGACATCTGTAATACTCTCAACAATAAAGATTTTTTTAAAAGCTCCCTAAACTGCTTCTCGTCTATTTATTTTGTAACTGGCTAAGACGGCACTACTAGGACATGTGTCTGGCTTAAGGCCCAGTTTAATCCATTCCATCAGTATTGATACACACTGACTGGGGACCGCTGTCTCCTACAAGAAACAGACGTGTGAACCAAGAGCGGGCTGAGAGCGGCAATCATAATTCTGGATTCAACAACTTTCTGTGCCCTTCCGAGGGGCAGCTCCCTCACAAAGCTTCGCCTGGCAAGTGGACCAACAGCACTGTCACGGGGGACAGGGCATGTCACACCCTATGGCTGACGGTCCCAGTGTGCTCCTGGCTGTGCGTTGGTCCTGCTCTCCCCATCTCTGCCACCAGCACTGTCCGCCTGCTGCGCCACTTCCCACACAGCAGCCAGCTTCTCCTCTGCCTACGGTGCCAAGTGCTTCAGCGCTGAGCACAGACACGGACCCTCTGCACTCGAAGCAGCCAGAGCACCGCCCTTTTTAACGGCATTTAGTGGAAACCCATGGTGACCTGTTCGTGCTCCTCAGGAAGCTGACTCCCAGCCCACCCAAGTTCCTCCAAGCCACACGCTATGGTCCCTCTGAGGAGTTCTGACCGTCTCCTCCACCTCCCCGCACACTCGGTTAGCACTTGGTGTCACGAGTGTACTGCAAAGATGTGACCAGGGCAGCTCCATGAGCCTGTGAGCCCACAGCCGCTCAGGGCCCCACACTCAGAAGGCCCCTTGCCCAGGCGGTAAAGAAGCCATCAGATCGAAGGCACGGCATAATGAACACAGACAATATTGTACTAGCATTATCTAATGTAATAAACACAATTACAATGGCCATCATTGCAACATACAAATTTACCCAAGTGACACATTGTACGCCTTTAAAATTTTAAGGAAAGGATCCTACCACGGTTTCATACAATTTGCTATCTCAATCCTAAAATTCTTGATAATTTTTAACCAAGGTTCCACATTTCCGTTGCGCAGGGCCCACAGACGAGGCAGTGAGGCAGAGGACAATCGTGGGCACAGGCAGGCAGCTGGTGAGTGGAGAAATCTCTGCGTGATCCAGGTGGAGTCAGAGAAGACTATACAGAACATGCCATTCTCGTGGCTCTTGAAGGCAGGGAATACGAAGGCAGCGGGAACTGGGGCATAAGCACAGGGAATGAAAGCACGTGTACTCATGGGACACCAGCGGACCGGTGAGAAGGTGTGGGTCACATACCCCAGCCCAGCTCGGGCAGTGGGCCTGGGGGCGCTCAGCACACACCGCCTGCTGCTGGTCTGTGCCGAGCTCGGTCCACGGGGAGCAGATCAGCTCACCAGGCTGAAGAACCAAATGCCTACGGGACACGTGGGGGACCAGGACCACGTGAATCACTCATCAGCAGCCTTCCTAACGCTTCGTTGGAGTCAGCCACGCTACAAGTCGGTTTGGGTTTAGCCACAATGGTTCTCAATGGTCACAGCATTGAAACACTGGGAAACTTTTAAAACTAACCAACGCTCAGCCCCCACCTCAGCCCACTGACTGTCTCCGCAGGTGAGGCCCAGGTATTTGTGTTTTTACCAGCTCCTCCAGAGATCCTAATAGACAGGGATGAGAGCTCCCAGCCCAGGAAGAGTTTCACAGGATGGACGGGGCAAGTTTGGGAAAACCTGGATGGCCAGAGACAGGGGAGGAGCCGCCAAGAAGGCAGAATGTGCCAGGACATCGCTGACCACGTGCGGATTTTGTCTGTGGCCACTCGTGGACAAAGAGAATTATTTCCACTCACTCCTCACCTCTCACAACCCCCAGGACCCAGCCTCATGCTCCAGTTGCCGGAGTACAGCTAAGATGGTAGTTTGAGGGTAACATGGGGACCGCATCACTGTTTTCTTTCTCTAAAGAGAAAAGTTTCATGTTCCAAGTGACTTATACATGATATTTCAGAACACAATTCTTCCAAGGGACCACCCCTGGAAGGGGGACCACTTATGGGGGTCACTCCTAGGAACACAGTATGTGCAGAAGGAAGACTGGGTCAAGGATCCTGACCCCGCCCTCAGGAGCTCAGTCACCTCGGGCTGGTGAGCTGCTTCCTCAGTAGAACTGGGCAACGCCGGTCCCAGGTGCTCACAAAGGCTGCTGTGAGGGCCTGATATAAATACAATACTCTGATGTGCTGTAAGAGTCTTGTCGCTATTGGAAATAAATGTATTTCAGCGTGCTATGCACATGAGAGAAAGTAACCTGGCGGGGTGGGGGAGGCTCAAATTCCTGTTATAGAATAATCCCAATCTTCCCATGCTTTCCCACTTACTTTAGCATCTAATTATATCTGATGTACTAGACTTTGTGCCAAGCAATCTTACTACAATTTCTAAAATCTTACAATGAAAAATCTGTTCACTGGGGTCCTATCAGACAGCCAGCCCCTGAGCCAGAGGCCTGCAAACTCCAGCTGTGGACAAGGCCACCTGCCTCCTGTCTTCGAGCTGTCTGCAGGCTAAGAATGGATCGCACATTTTAAGGGGTTGGAAAACAAATCAAAAGAAAGATATCTGGGGACACACACAAAAACTATATGAACTTTACATTTCAGTGTCCATAAGTAGTTTTATTGGCACCTACCATGCCCACTCGTTTGCCTACTATCTGTGGCTGCTTTGGGCACAGTGAAGTTGCTGCGACAGAGACTATGGTCTGCAAAGCTGCAAACGTTTCTGTCTGGCCCTTTAGAGGAGAGCCTGCCATAGAGCACAAACCCTGGATACAAAAAGGAGGCCTCATGCCCACAGCCACTGTCTCTGTTCTGGCTCTTCCCACCTGGCTTTCTCCTTTGGCTACAAGCTCCTGGCTACTCCAGCTGTCCCACACCTCACGCCCAGGGAGTTTGTCTTCCTCGGTTTTGACCATAACTGCTCCGAAGCACACACTCCGCCGTCATGCTTCATGTGCTCACCAGGCTTCACAGACTCTCCAGGCTCACCGCCCACCTCCCAGGCTCGCCCCAGGCGAGAAAGAACCGGATGGGTAGATTCTTTTCTTTAAAATAGAGACGTGTTGATGTCTGGTGGTGAAAATACTCCCCCCACCTCTGTCCCTCCCTTCTTCCCTCCCTCTCTCCCTCTCATTGTTTTTAAAAACAGAGAGAATACAATTTAGCAATCATTCCTCTAACTAGGGAGCAAGCTCACATCAGGGACCTTAACTTGTGTTTCAGGCTGCGATGTAGGAGCAGTGGGACTCTGCTGAGGGCGGCTCCCCTCCCCGCCCGCAGGGGCAGTGGTGTAGGCAGGAAGGGGCTCTGTGACTCCCTCATTCCAATAGAGTCCCTGCTGGTAGCACATACTTCTTTTTTAATTATTAATTTGTTTTTATTACACGTTTGTCCTTTTTCCCCCATTGACACCCTCCTCCCCATCCCCATCCCCCGCCCCATCCCCAGCTTTGTTGTCTATGTCCATTGGTCATGCACACATGCATATAAGTTCTGTGGTTTATCTCTTCCCCCCTAACCCCTCCTCCTCTGAGGCTTGTCAGTCTGTACCCCACCTGTATGTCTCTGCGTCAATTTTGTTCATCAGTTTGTTTAGTTCATTATATTCCACAATTAAGTGAGATCATGTGATATTTGTTTTTCTCTGCTTGGCTTGTTTCGCTTAGCATAATACTCTCCAGGTCCTTCCATGCCA